TTTGCACTCATGCAGGTTACCAACCCCCTGACCCCAACCATGTCTAGAATGCATTCTTCTTCATCTCCATCTATTGAAATCCTTTTCTTCCTTCAAGGTCCAGCTCAGGTGTCACCTCTCCCATGAAGCTTCCCCGGATTCCTCTAACTGCAAGTGAACTCTTCCTTCTCAAATTTTCATAGAAAGTGTTGTCTTGATCCTTTCTTTACTGCTAATTTGTGCTTTATTTACTTGTGTGTCTATCCGTCCCATTAGATAACAAGCTCCTTAAGGGCATAACACTTTGTACATAGTAGGTGTTTAAGAAATGCATATTGAAATTAATTAGGGGCATCTAGGTGGTACAGTGAGTAGAGCTCTGGCCTTGGAGTCAGGAGAACCTGAGTTCAAATCCAGCCTCAGACACTTAACACTTACTAGCTATGTGATGCTGGCAAGTCACTTAACCCCGATCGCCTCATCAAAAAGAAAAAAAGAAAAAAAAAGAAATTCAATTATTTGTTGACATATCAAAAGGATTCATTTCCTTCAATTTCCACTTTCCTATTTGTGTGATATTTCACACTGATTTCTGGAAGAGTATACCCTCAAAGTATCTTTTTCTACATTTGTAAATTGAGCTTAGTGTCTTTATATATGAAACCTTTAAGAATTTGTATCATGTATACGTGTTGATCTATACATCCAGAACAAATGAGATAGTTAAACACCAAATTTGAGGTTTTTCCTTTGTCTAAAGAATCTAGATTGGCTTTTTAGAGTGCCCGAAGTTCACCAGCTAACTAGGCTCTTCTGCTTCTCTCAGATACATTTGTTTTACTGTTATTCTACCAGTTCTTCGGGCCAAATTATTAAATATATTCAGTCTAAACTTTTTTTGCACAAAGGAGTAATTCTCAGGTTTTATGTCTACTATTATCCTGAGGCTAATTTATAAATTAATTTGAGTGCTATAGGGAGATTCAAAAAGAATAATCAAAAGTTAGTACAAGCATTGACCATTTTTAATGCAATCCTCCATGTTTGTTGAAACTAGAGGTTTGTATTGTCCCATCCAATTAAGAAAAAGGAAGCTAAGGTCAAGGCCTACATAAAGGCATATATTGTCAGTCATTTGGTCAATGAGCATTTATGAATCTCTGTGACAGGCACTGTTCTTATCACTAGAGATACAAAGAAAACCAAAAACAATTCCTTCCCTCAAGGGGCTCACATTCTAATGGAAGAGACAACATGCAAACAACTATGTATGTAGAAGATATAAACAGTGTAAATGAAAGATAATCTTAGAAGGAAGGCATGGAAGTTACTTCCTTTGAAATTCATAACATCTGACCTTCCTTCCTTGATCCTTGTCCATCTCTTCAACCAACCTGCTGGTCACTCCCTCACCTTTCTCTATCCCTTTGGGTCCTGGCTCACAGTTTTCCTCTCCACTCCTTCCTGCTCTCACATTCTTTGGAAACTTCAGTATCTGCAATGATGAACCTCCTGACGTGCCATTCTCACAGTTTCTTGAACTCTTCAACTCCTGTTATACCCACCTTCACTTAATTTCAGGCTCTTCTCTCAAAACTAACTACAAAGTCCTGAACTCTGACATCTCCTGGTGGTTAAGATCCCTAATCTTTTCATTTCTTCCTATCCCTAATTCCTTGATGAACTCATTGTTTTTCATCATGACTTCACTCCCTAGATTCCTCCCTAATCTTTATCGAACCTGTTCTGTTCTCACTTTCTCCCCTACTCCATGATTCTGTCCTTGGCTACCTTCTCTCCTCTCTCCTCATTGCCAACTGTATTGAATGTCAGAGCTTCAGTTATTCCTTCTAAGATGACTCCCAAATCTTATCTCCACCAGTTACCCTTCTTAACCCTGAACATCATGGTCTGTATTAAGAGACAGAACTTTCAGGATCATTCCATGGGAGTTCTGTTGTCCTGTTCCCTGGTCCAACCACATCTGGAGTATTATATTCACTTCTCAATGTCTCATTTTAGATAAGACCTTAGTAAACTAGAGAGGTCGCATAGAGGAGTATGTTCAGGATAGTAAAGGGCTTTGAGTTCATCCCACATGAAGATTAGTTGGAGAAACTGGAATTAATTTTTAGCCTGGAGAAGAAAAGGCTTAGGAAGGATATAACAACTATCTTCTTGTTTTTGAAGGTTGTAGTGTGGAAGAGAGATTAAATTTATTCTATTTGATTCCAAAATGGTAGAACTAAGAATAATGAGTGTAAGTTCCCAAAAAGAAAATTAAGGCTTGATATTGGGGGAAAGAAACTTAACAGTTAACAGTTATACCTGTCTGAAAATAGAATATGCTACCTCTCCTCACTGCGGAATTTTAAATAAAGGCCAAAAGGCCATTCCCCTTCTCTAATCCATGTATCATATCACTGATTGAGAAATCTTCCTAATATACCATTTTCATCATGTCTCTCCTCAGAAGCCTTATTTGGGGTCTCCATTTTGGTTAATTAAGCATCAAGTACTATATGAAGTTAGATATTATTATTATGTAGTAAAATAGGACCTGATCCTGACAGTGTATAGCTAGCTGCTGATCCTCCATGGTTTTTTCACAGAGCACTCTCATTCATATGTTCAGCTCTCCAGCCAAACTGGACTACTCTGTGCCCCCCATTCCTGACCTGCCTTCTCCGTTTTTTCATGTTTTTACTCCTCGTATTTTGCATCCATAGAATGGCCTTACCCTCTCCCCAATCTCCATCTGTTAAAGTCCTTACCTTCCTTGAATGCCCAGCTCGTGTGCCAGCTGTTCCATCAAGCCTCTCCCATTTGCTTACCCTCCTCAGATTTCTCAAAGCACTTTATCTGAACTTACACTTTTGTACTTCATCTCACTTTCCCTTCTTCCATGATAGCCATTTGTATACATGTCTCTATATGTGAATATTCCCATCATAGCTATTAAGCTACATAGTCCATTAAGTCAAGTTGAGTGAACAAGCATTTATTAAGCACTTACTATGGGCCAGGCACTGTACTAAACAAAGAAAGACAGAAATATTGCCCCTGCCCTCAAGAAGCTCATATTCTAACGGAAGCAACAAATGAACAACTATGTACAAACTAGATATAGGTATAGAGGGTAAGTCAGAGGTAATCGCATAAAGAAGTGACTGGCACTGAAAGGGACAGTGAAAGGCCTTTTGCAGGTATGGTAACTGAGCTGAGAGATGAAGGAAGCCAGGGAAGCTAGGAGGGGAAGATGAATCAGAAGAACATTCTAGGCCCAGAAGACAACCAGTGGAAATGCACCATGTCAAATGTGGAGAGTCCCATATAAGAAACAGGAAAGGAGGCCAGTGTCACTGGGTCCTAAAGTGTATGGAGGGGCAAAGAATGTAAGCAGAATGGAAAGGAAGAAAATGGCCAGGTTGTGACTGGCTATAAAAGCCAAACATAGAGGGCAGCTAGGTGGCGCAGTGGATAGAGCACCAGCCCTGAAGTCAGGAGGCCCTGAGTTCAAATCCGGCCTCAGACCAAACACTTGCCACTATCTGTGTGACCCTGGGCAAGTCACTTAATCCCAATTGCCTAAAAGCCAAAAAAAAAAAAGCCAAACATAGGGCTTGATATTTGATCCTGAAAGCAAGAACCAATAGAACACTTCTTGATGAGAGAGTCTTACGGTAGATGGCCTATTTTGTTTTTTTTGTTTTTCCACTGCCTAATATACTATTTGTTTACTGAATTGTACTGGAGTGTAGTGGTTCCTCTGATGTTGGATTTAGGGTGCTAATTGCATTAAAGTGTGACAGTTGTCATGATGCCCTCTACCCTGTCGTAGCACTATTGTGGGGGGGGGGGCACAGTAGCCTTTACTGTATGCCTTTCTGGTTCTTCTGTCCATCCTAAAATGAAACAGTGAGGTGGAATCAAAAGCGTTGTTCTGAATCTTGCTAGCATGTAGCCCTGACCAAGACACCCAATGCTCTCTTTATGGCTTCCACATTCAATACTTCTTACATCTGTATTTTGAGAACCTATCATTTCATCAGTATGGTACCCCCTCCACAAATATAGACTGCAACTCCTCCATCCTTTAGCAAACAGTCCTCATGACTCACTGTACCTAAAAAATGCATCCCTTTGAAGCCAGCCTGGTTCCAAACCTCTGTGGACTTAGGTAGGCTTGCTTTTGGATGACAGACATGCAAGAGGCACCTAGATGTGTTTTCCATGACAGTCAATCAAAAAGCATTTAGGAAGTGCTTACTACGTATCAGGCACTGAGCTCCATGCTAGGGATACACGTAAGAGCAAAGACAGTCCTTGCCCTCAAGGAGCATACATTCTAACAGAGGAGACAAACATGCAAATAAAATAGGTATGTAGAAGATATATTCAGAGTATGTGGAATGTTATCTCAGATGGGAAGGAGATTAAAGCTGGGGGCCCGGGGAATGCTTCCTAACAGATGTGGTATTAGGACAACATGAGTCATGACAGGATGATATGAAGTAAAGGTTAGATTATAACTATCTGCTGAACTTGCAAAATATAAGTATAGTAGCCAAAGAAAGGAAAATATGGAAAAGGGAAAAATCGTAAAGAAGGATAAAATCTAAGAGGTGATGTGGATGAAGAAAAAAAAAAAGGTGAGGTGGCAGAGTGGGGAGAAGATTAAAAAAAAAAAAGCCCACCAGCTAGAGATCTTTGAAAGCATTGGCTGCCTTTTTAATTTTGAAAGGAATTGGTCAGTTTTTCTTAGTCAATATCCTTGTCTTTTTAGTAGTTCAACTCTCCTTTGTTCTCTCATATATTTTTAGCAGGTTCTGAAGAAATTTCCTGATGAAACATCTAATACTTAGAGTGACTAGAAGTAGCTGTATCTTTCCATTACACTATGCTAAGTTATAAAAGAAATACAGCTCTCCTTCATCTATGTACCAGATGTAAACCTCTTCTCCTTTTGGTTAATGTCAATACAACAGGAAGGTCACCTGCCCTTGACTTGTGTTTTTTAGGCAATATTGGATGTTGTTGTGAATCTTCAGTTTAGCCTGATAGAAAAATTGTGGCAAACTTTCTGGCGTTATTCTCCCTCCACTCCAGCTGATGGCACTACAATTACTGAATCCAGGTCAGAATCCGAAAACTTTACTGATTTACTATTATAGCTGAACAGATCTGACAATGTAGAGATATGTATACCAGTTGTGAACCTTTCCTGGTAACTTTAATTTGTTAGGCTAACATTTTGACTATGATATAAATATACCACAAACCGCTCTTTTGAGGTTTAGCTTCTCCACATAGCTCCCATTTTTATTGATTCGGGTGACTGCAGTAGACATCTTCCCCCTTTTCCTATTAAAAAAAAAAGTAACCAGTCAACATGTCTTTAGAAAATTTGGAAGTAAGTAGAGAGCTTTGGGGGGAACCCATTGTCCTAGCTATGTGGCACCAGTGCAATGATGGTATAGTCTAACCTCTGTAGTATTTTATTCAATACAAATATTTTAAAAGCCCATTATTCTTTTTTTTTTATCCTCATTTGCCATCTATTCATTTGCGACATTTATTCACGCCAGCAATCTGAGTGAAATAGAAAGCCGACTTCCGAAAGCAAAGCTGATAACTCTGTGCAAAAATGAGTCTATTCTGAAATGGATGTGTAACTGTGACCATGGGATGTACCAGGCTTTGGTGGAGATTCTCATTCCCGACGTCCTTAGACCTATTCCTAGTAAGTTAAATGCAGACAAGTAAGGATTCTTTTGTTCTCGTACATAACTCCCAGGAAGTTTTGGGAAGTGACTTTGAAAAAATCTCAGTGATTCTGTGTCTGAGTCTCATTCAGGTTTGCGAAACAGAAAAGCCTACAATATTATGGAGTAGTGCGTTAAAGCAGACTAATGTAAAAGCTGTACTTTTTTTTTGACCTGACTCACCTATTTTCCAATCTATCATGCCTCTTTCTTGTAAGCCAACTAAGCAGACGGGTGACAGCCCCAATAACTAATTGCAAGATTACTCCTTGGCCAGTCAACCATTATCGAATTATTTCCCTCGGAAGCACAGTTCCCTTCTTCAAGTGAAAATTATTGAAATCTGTAATTGCTAGGCCAGTCTCTTTTCTGGTTGCTTTTGATATCAAGCTAATTTACCTCGGTTCCCAGTGAAGTTGAATTCCTTTATAAAAGCATTTACTCTGTCACGTCTGTCATGTTAAGAACTACAAATGTAGCTTCCATTAACAGTAATGGTTAACGATATTCTGAGAGAAAAATCTATGTAACTACACAAGCTTTGTGTTCCCACCATGAACCAAACAATAGGCATTACACAGATAAGTTAGATTATTTTTAAAGGAGATAGTGCCTCAAACTACCTTGTAGCAAACAAAGCTATATTCTACAGATGTCAATATAAGTGCTACTAAGGAGTCTAGTTGTTAGAGGCAGTTGAGAACAATTTTACACCTACATCTTTAATGAGCAGATGCGACTGACCTTAACTTGTTAATGAAATGGAACAGAGCTTCCACTCTTTAAGTACATTAGTGGAGGTAAAAAGAATGTTAGCTTTAGAAGTTAGACAGCATAGACTTGAAGTGTACTTGCTCATAGGCAGCTATTGTTAATGTTTTCAACAAAATAAATAGGGATTTGGTAGAACAGAAAGTCAGGAAATAAACTTAGCACAATTGTACATTTTAACCTCATCTATTTCTAAATGTGGCAGAAATTAATGGAGGTCATGAAAAATAAACACTTTTTTTTACTGGTGGTAATTCTTTCATTCTTCCTACCACCTTAGTGCATGTCTATTCACAATATGTTTGTATGGTAATCTATGGATATGCATATGGATTTATGTATAAATGTCAGGAAAATAGTTTAACCGTCTTTATCACAAGTTCCATATGTTTAGCAAACAAACACAAAAGCCTTCATTTTTTAAGCAATTAAGTTCAAGTTTAAGAATATCACCAAAAGAACTAGGAATTTAATTAAGTTCCCAATGTGAGAGTAAAGAAAGTCCTCTGACTTTGTTTTCCATTCCATCCACACAAGTTTTACTGATTAAAGATTGATTAAAAGTGACATTGTCATGAAAAATTTCAGTGTGCACATCTTGTACTGATTTCTGTTCCAGTACCTGATTTCCCTTGCCTTCCTCTTGCTCCCTGTGCACCGAGTGGTATTCTCTAGAGATGTTTAAGAGAAGTTTTATAGGGGAGCTCATTAGCCTATGACATCTTACTGCCTACTCACAATTTACCTCATGAGATAGATGGAGAGATGTCAGTAAGGGTTTAAAAAAAAACCCACAGCATTCTAAATACAGAAAACCAAAATTACTCGTGTTTGGCTTAACACAACAGAAGTTTGACTCAGGGAAATAAAAGGAACTTCTAAAGTTAAATTTTTGCACCTTCTTAAGTGACCACTGCTTCGCATAATAGGCAGCTCAGACTTTATCTTTCTTTTTTGTAAATTGTATATTTGAAAGTCCAACTTTCTCTGTCAAATAGCTTCCCATGAGTTTCAGTGAACAAATAAGCTTCAGAAATTTTTATAAAACTACAGTTTCAGAGTTGTTTTGTAACTAACAGATGCATTAAGAGGCAGCCATTCCAAAGAAATTTCAAGCTTTCATTCCCATGCTACAATGAGGCTCAAAGAAATAAAAGCTCAAAATACATTTTAGATAGCTATCTTTTGAATATATGCATTTTAATATTAACCTTCAACAGGTTGAGACAAGTAGGCTTTGGAATAGACTTTGAATTTCAAACAATCCATTCAAGAATTTTAAGATTTGTCAAAGTCAATCTGCACAATTTTTTATTTTACATAAATTCTTATAGAAAGTCCAAACTAACTTCTCTTTACAATGAAGAATTTCTTTTCCTGGCGACTACTAGTTCATAGCTCTGCCATCCATCTTTTTCCTTCATAACAGAAGAGACACATTTTTTTTTTCTGTCCAGATGGGGTTCCTTTTTTGGTATAGAAAAAATCTTTGGCCATCACATTAATTTGAAGTCAGATTAACAAATACTAGATCCTAAAATTCAGTTTTCTGAAAATGCGAAGTTGCTAAATATAAGGAATCCCTCCAAGCACAATTAGTGACACAAGTTCAGCACTCAGTTATCTGTAAGCACAATAAACAAGCCAAGACCTCATTCTTGTACAACAGGGGAGAGATTCCAAGTTATTTTCATTATTTCTAAGATACAAAATAAATGTAATTATTTTCCTAGCCTTCTGAACATCAAATTAATTTGGATAAAATGAGATCCAAATTGAATCTGTATCTTGAACCCAAATTTTCTTGAGCTTCAAAAACTGGTTGGTTTTTTTGTTACTCTTTTTCATTTCCATTCATACCTATCCTCCATGATTCTAGTGCATAACACAGCAGGACGAATTTTTTTCATAAGCTTCCCAGCTTTGACAAAGCAGGAAGCTCTGGAAATTTCAAGAGAAAGATCAGTTCTCAAGAAATTTCCAGTGCTGTTATACAGATTAAGGATTTGTTTAATCTTCCATATTTGAGGCCACTTTTCTTAGTCAAAATCCAGACTGTTTCAAGTTCATCCATCATTTGTCCCATTGAATAATACAAAAAGAAAAAGATAACTTTTTTTATTTTATAGAAAGAAGAATACATTGTTTTGAGACTAGTTCGCATTGTTAACATATTTCTCAACTTTCTTAAACAAAGGCCATTGTCAGTTGAGGAAGTATGTCAGACTAAGTCTGAGTACTGGCCTGGAAAACTAAGGGATTTAATCCCAGGGTTGCTTTTAATTTGCTTTTCAGCCTTGGGCAAATCATTTAACTTTCTGGGGTCTTATCTGTAAAAGAGAGATTAAAACACCCACCTACCACACAGGGGTATCCATAGATTAATTGTATGATTGTAAGGTGCATAGGATACTTACTTATTAGGTTATTTAAAGCTGCTCCCTTTCTTTCAGAACCTTGGGCACAAATAAAGTCAAATCACAAAGCCAGGAAAACAGAAGCAGCATTATATTTACCTACCACATAGTCTCAGCCTGAAAATAAAAGTGGTGCCCAGAAGGCTTAGTATTATTTGAGTCCATTTTCTTATTACTTGCCGAAGAAGTGTAGAGTCCATGTAGCTAGGGAGCAGACTCTGTGAATGCTGGCCCTACCTGCCAGATAACACTAGTCCTTTTCCCTTACGGCCAAGGAAGTTCCTATCACTTCACAGCCTACATAAAATGTAGAGTCATGGGGCAGAGGTATCTGTCTCTATTACATACTGCAGAAAATACAGTATGTAATTCTCTTACTGGATGATTTTGAGAATTCTCATCAATGTTGGCTGCAGTTTTCATTACACTTGTCCTGTGTATACATATGCCAGATAAAATGAAGAACTGATTAAATTGTCCAAACTGACATCAAAATAACTGTGCCTCATTTACCAAAATATGTCAGAGGAAAATGTTAGAAAACAGCCTCAGTACTCCACCTGACATCCCCAGTTTATTGAGAGGCACAGGTCAAAAGTCTTTTCCCAAGATTATGCTCTTATGCTGGATTAGGAGCTGGAAAAAAGATCATAGAATATGGGAGTTGGAAGGGACTTCCAATATCATCTAGTCCAATCTATAGCTGAACAAGAATCCTTTCTACTGAATTTGCAAAGAGGATATCCAGTCACTGAGCATAAAAGTTGCTGAAAATGCTCTGTTCAAAGTAGAAAAATCTGTAATCATATTCACAACTGGTATATGTTGCTGTGCTCAAATGTTTGAATATTTGGGCTTCCTACTGATGGATAAGAACAACCTAGGAATGAAACAATTAAATACATAACCTCCAAGAAGTAAGTCAGGAGGCAGAGCAGAGTTATGAATATATATTAAATGCTTATCAAAGTAGAAGGTGAAAATTCTAGGAGTATTTCAGATTGTATGTTTATATGCTCCCCTACAATCCCTACCCTTCTTACCCCAACATAAGGATATTGGTTATTTGGCTCCTTTTCATTCTGTTTTTATTCTTTAATATTTAGGTGCCTTGACCCAAGCCATTCGCAATTTTGCAAAAAGCCTTGAAGGTTGGCTTTCCAATGCCATGAACAATATTCCACAGAGAATGATACAAACCAAGGTACATTATGTTAGCTGTGCCCTTCTTTTTGTCTTTTGGAAATTGTTTTGAACCATTGTCTTTACATTTCATCTCCCAGGTGGCATTGTGTAACATAATTTGTATGGTAGATATGTAGGATTTTTTTGTGTTACTTTCTCAAAAGCTTTCCTTTTCACTAATGAAGTATTTGCATTATTGTTTCATGTTCAAATTCAACAGTTCATAGATTTCAAGTGTTAGTTAAAATTTTCAAAAAGAAAGTAGAGAAAGATTTCCAGAAGTAATGAAGTTAAACACATCCTAAATCTAGCCTACAAAATTCTCAAGGACTTCCAGGTTCCACAGTTGTGTTAATGAATATACCTCCTTCACCATTGCAAATATCAACCCATCCATGACTTAGCAGAGTTTATGTCTCACTGAAAAATGTGTCACCTCCGTAGCTCTCCTAGTAATGAGCCTTGCTGAAATTATCTGTCCTCAGAGGACAGACATTACCATCTCTTACCAGGTCCACTTTTGAAATCAATGCTTAGCACTGCGACTCCAGCACTTAGCATTGCTCCTGGTACATAGTAGGCACTTAATAAATGTTTGTTGACTGATTGATTGAGACCTGCCAGAAGTTGATCTTTACTAACATAGTCTTCAGTAACCCAGAACCACCACCACCTCATGCTAGGGCATCAGAAGAGGACTCTTGTGCAGACAGTTGAAAGCATAACCCAGAGAAACATCAAGTGTTTAAGTAATTATATCTCTAGTACTAGCTGGCATTTATATGAGGCTTTCTAGATTGCAAAGCACTCTACTTGCATCATCTCATTTGAACTTCACAATTCTGATTCATTGGGCTAAAAATTTGGGAACCCAGCTATATTGTGTCACATGGAGACAAAGAAGTGCTAATTGAGAGTAATAATAACAATGCATTTTCCAATTCTGGAGAGTTTACTCGTTAACTTATTTTTTTTAATGCTTACTATTTGCAGAGCATGGTGGTAGATACTTGGAGCAATACAAAAGTTTAGAAAAGGCATGGGCCTTGCCTTTAGGGACCTTATAGTTAACAAATAAAAGACAGAAATGTGAAATTATAATATATTGTATTACCTGATCATTGCACCAGAGAAGTACAAAACAAAAGTGCTATTTGAGGTCCAAGGGGGAAAGTCAATACTGCCCTGGAACATTAGAGGTGTCTCCATGGAAGAAGTGGCATGTGAGTTTGCTTGTAATGGATGGGTAAAGATCCAACAGCTGAAGAGAGAGAGGAAGGACAGTCAAGGCATTAAGAATAATATGGCCAAGGGTGTACAGAATTCAGAGTATATTACTTCACATACGGAAGTCCACTTTGGAGCACAGAATTCATGGAAGAGAATGATAGAAGAGTGGAGAGGTAAGATGGTGCCAGATTGTGCAGGGCCTTGAATTCCAGCCATGAGGCTAACAATATAATGAATTGGATGGGGAGAGAGTAGAGGTAGAAGACCCATTATAGTGGTGTCCAGGTCAGTGGCCATGAAGAGCCTGTGCTAGAATAATGACTATAAGAATAGAGAAGAGGGAAATTAATGTAAAAGAAAATTTGAAGGTAAAATTAGTAGGACTTGGTAAATTGTTTGTATATGAAAGATGAGGATGTAGGAAAAGCCATAGATGACCAAAGGTTGCAGGCGTGGTTCATGGTAATTCCAAAGAAAGAAATAGTAAAATCATAAGGAGAAGAATATGTTTATAGAGGAAGATAAGTCTGGTTTGGGAAATGCTGTAGGCAAGAAGGTGTGTTGACTACAGTGCTTGACATGGCATATGGAGGACCAGAATTCAAATCCTACCCTGACACCGAGGGTAAATCACTTATCCTCTCTGAACTCCAGACAAATCTCTAAGATTTACTACTAAATTATGGATAAATTGTAATCTGTAATCTGTAGAGAGTTTCCAGAATGAGATAATCACAGCTCCTTGACATATTAGGCAATGTTGAGTTTAAGGATTTGAGACATGGGGTGTGACATCCAGCTAGAGATGTTTGATTCTTGAAGAAAAACACAGAAATTAATCTACCAGTCATTCTACATTATGTCATTCCATGTTCTGCTTCCATGCCTTTGCAAAAACTGCATCCTCCATGTCTGAAATGCTCTCACTTATTACTTGAACCTCTTGGGCACCCTACCCCCTTCAAGTCTCAGAGGCTCAAGGACCACCTCCTTAAAGAGGCTGATACTAAATTCTCTAATAGTACTCATGTTCTGAACTGAGGAGACCTGAGCATATGTGCAGGGAAATAGGAAGAATCCACTGGAGTTCAGCTACCTTTCCAGTTGAAAGAACCTACTTCCTCAGTTTCCATTAAGTGTCACATAACCCTAGAGCTTAAAAATTGTGGTCTTCTCTTTAGGGTGATAACTTTATAAGATAAGGATTGGAAACACCATCCAGTCCCCCGTGTTCACATGTTCAATGAGGTTCACATTTTAGCACACCTCTTGCAATTTTCTTTGCAATGTACATTTTTGCTCATGTTCTGGATACATGAGGTTTCAAGGGGTGTTATACATGTAACACCTGAGATGTTTCGTATGGGTTTTATGTAATACATTATGGTTGGCATTTTAGATACAACGTTTTTATAGTAATTTAAGTATGTATGTTCCAATTGCTAGTCTAGAATAAGAAACCTGTTTCCAAAGACTGTACTTCAAAAGATCCATGATTTTGTCAATGTAGGCACACTCTCCACAGATTCAGATCACAGCCCTTCTGCACCTTGATACAGTCTTCATGAGTTGTGGCCAAAAAAAAAAAAGAAATTGGCTGCTAAACTATTCATTTGTAACTTGGTTGTTCCTTAACCAAAAGACACAGTCTCTCACCAGACCGATATTCTTCATAGGATAATAGTTCTACATCATAGAGATCTAGAGGAAGGGATCTCAAGGGCCATATAGTCACTTCCCCCCATTTTACAGAGGAAGAAACTGAGGTCTAGGGAAAGTAGGAAGAGTTAGAATTTGAACCCACATTCTCTGACTCCAAAGCCCATGTTCATTCCACAGGCTGTACCAGATACCAGGCTGCCTACCAGTTTGGAGAATGACATTCCAGCAGTTGTGTATTTCTGGCACAGCCTTGGAGAACCTAGGGTCTCCATGCCAGCTTGGGGCATCAGAGGAAGACATTAGTAGCAGAATTCCTTCCCTTCCCTCCCAAAAAAAGCTGTAAAATATTGGCTCCTCATCTTACTTATATTTCTATAGAATAGTATATGATAAAAGAATGCACCTGATTGGCAAGGTCCTGACAAGATTTTCTCTTTTTTACCTGTTTAAAAATTGTTCTATATGTAGTTAATACTAGAGTGGGACCAGTTCTCGCAAATTTAATAGCTCACTTTCTATCTGAATGTGATTCAGAGAATAAAGGAAATTAAATGAGCTTTTTTTTTCCAGCTTCTCTAGAATAGATTATGTCTGGATGCGAATGCATGATTACTGGCAAGTCTGGTTAATTAATACTCCTATGGGAAAGAATGTGGGAGCTTGTTTGAGTCTTGACCTCAAACTACTTTTTTTTTTAATCTTAGGGAAATTATACCTGACTTAGAAATTTAAATGCTACAATCCATAAATAAGCTATCTTACAAGGATGAATGTAAAATATGTCAAAATGGATCATAAGAAATTGGCAAGTCAAGGCAGATTAGAAAAATACCAGTGGTTTCTTTTCCATAAGAAAAAAAAATACAAAGCCAACTAGGTTTCTTTGCAGGTTGCCGCTGTAAGTGCCTTTGCCCAGACTCTGCGAAGATACACATCGCTTAATCACCTGGCTCAGGCAGCTCGCGCCGTACTCCAGAACACTTCTCAAATCAACCAGATGCTCAATGACCTCAACCGTGTGGATTTTGCCAATGTCCAGGTAAATCGTGGCTTCATGAATGGTCTCTTTAAGGAAATATCTTCTGTTGTGTCCTTGGTCTGGAACACCAAATTTATCTTCATCGTTCCATCTGGACATATTCATGGAATCACTAGGAAAAAAGTTCACTCAGACATAACTTTATTACATCTCTATTTTAGGTCTAACAACTTCTGCTCAGATTTACTGCCTATGCAGACAAAATCACGATTCCACCATAGTCTGTGCCTCCCAGTGAATGAAATAGGAAGATATGCTTTGAAGATGCTTGACTGTTTTAACAGCCCCCCCAAAAAGCATATTTTTGACCGCAGTGATAAAAAAATTCACTTTTGAGGAGAAACATTTATTTGAAAAACTGAATTAAAAAAAAAACTAAGACTTAATATGGGATCCAAATGAGCATTTCTTTTTTGAAGCTAACATTTTATTTTTAAGATATGTTGGTAGATGTGGCCAGAATGTAATTACATCGGTGATATAAGCCAAATTCTATATTGGTTCTGTTTGGATAAAGTTTTGATTTTTCCAGTTTTGTTCTGGTCAAGTAGTTTTAAACTATATTTAGCTTTTAACTTTGAAGTGATTATCTGTGCTTGTTGTTGTTTCTCTAAACAAAATATATTTAAATTCTCAGCTCAATCAAATATTAATAGAGAGATTAGGTTCATTTTGGGAGTCAGTAAGTTAATAGAATTCAACTGATCTTTGGTTCATGCTTCAGGTTCAAAGGTTTTTAATCCTTTCCCACTCCTACAGGTACTATCTGATTAGGACAGATGTCTTGTGTGAGGCTACTAAAATCAATCACTTTCTATATTTTAGTAGAATTTGACTGTTTAATTTTAGTGATAATGAAAAGTCCTTATTTCCAAAACTATATTCTAATTTATTTATAACTTGTTTCCTATATGCTAAAAACCACTACAGATTTTCTTTCCAGCCTTATACATTTCTTTTTTTAACTCAAAAAACATGCTTCATATACTTTTAGAAGTTCCCAAGAAAAAGAAAAATAACAATTTCAGTTTCAAGGCAAATACCTCATAGTATTGTTGTTCAATCCTTTCAGTTGTGTCCAACTCTTCATGACCCTATCTAGGGTTCTCTTAGCAAAGTTACTAGAGTAGTATGCCATTTCCTTCTCCAGCTCATTTTACTGAGGAACTGAGGCAAACAGGGTTAAGTGACTTGCCCAGGGTCACACAGTGAGGAAGAATCTGAGGTCGGATTTAAAGTCAGAAAGATGAGTCTTCCTGACTCTAGGCCAAGTACTTTATCTACTGTGCCACCTCGCTGCCGTCATAGTATTGAACATAGCATCAATTGATGATTATTCCCCATTATCCTGGAAAAGGCTTCTATTTTTCTTCATTTTTGAAGACAGGTAGCTATAGATGTAGATGTAGCTATATAAGAGATCAGCCCCCGAATCAGGAAGTTCTAGATTTGAAATCTGTTCCTAATAAATATTGGCACTGTGACTGAGCAAGTCACCAAAGTCTCAGTGCTGGCAGACAGCCCTCTAAGACTTAAATTGTAGAGAAATTGCTGATGGGCTTTGATGGAAGGAGTTTCCTCACAGGGACATTCACCGTATCAATGAGATCCCTGATCCAGACCAAAAGAAATTACATCTATATGTATGCCTGTATTTGGAACAGTTCTATTACTGAAGACCAACATGAATGGAACTTAAGTTTTACTGTCAACAGCCATTAAACAAGCCACATTGTGCTTGGAAACCTATCTAAAGGAGGAACATGGGGCCAGGTCACAGGGTCTAGACACAGGAGATCCTGAGAAAGAGAGCGAGACCCAGAGCCAAAAAATCAAAACTCAGAGAAACAAGTCACAAGAAGCATTAAGATGGTATTGCTGGTGGCTCAGTTAGAGCTGTGAGCATTCCCGTAGGCAGTTATAGTAGCCCACTACTGGGGAAGACGAGGATGCTTTGGTTGGCTGAACTTAGGAATTCTGAGTTGCAGTGGGACAAGCTGATTGGGTGTCCAGACTTAAGGACAGCACCTGGTTAAGCCTTCAGGACCAGGACAGGTAGGATGGGTGCTACCAGTCTGCCTAAAGAGGGTCAAACCACCCTGGATCAGAGCAGATCAAGGCATCCATGCTGATTAGCAGTAGGATCAGGTCAATGAGTGGCTGCTGTACTTCCAGCTTGAATGAGGTAGGGAGATCTAGTCTTAAAAAGTGTTCCTTAGTCTAACAGCCATTTTCATGGTCAAACCCCAACCCTGTCCCCGCCCCCACCACCACTACTACTCCCTGCTTACTGGGACTTCTGCCATTACTCTGCATTTATGCTAGTGATATTATCCAGGTGCCATCCCTCCTTTCCAGCAGACTTGAGGCATAGATTTGGGGATTATGGGGATGGCAGGCATTGTTTGGAGCCACAAACTCTTCTTAATATATAATAAAATAATATAATAACCACCAGAGGGACATCTACTTCCATCGCATTAGTGTCTTGACCCAGGGAAAGAAGTGAATATGCTATAAAGTCCAAAGTTACAGGGGGCCAGTGGGTGGCAGTGTAGGAGACCTTCAAGCTTCTCAACCATTTCTGCCCAATTCCAGACCCCCTCCTTTTATAAACAGTGAAACTGAAGCCCATGTAAGATAAATGATTTGCTCATGGTCACAAGTAATAAGCAGAATTCTTCCCTAGCTCCTCTGACTGCAAATCCATAGTCTTTTCCATTACATTATGCTGTCTCTTTCTATTAGATTGTCTTCTCCCCAGTAGACTGTAAGCACATGGAAATCATTTTGCAAACCTTAAAGTGCTATATAAATGCTAGCCATTAGCTATTATTATTGACAGCAGGGTCTGTATTATATTCATCTTTGTGTCCCCCCACCACAGTGCTTTGCAGACAATGGATGTCTAAATATTTATTATTTGTATGAATCACTGCCCCCTACCCTTTAGATGAATAATTTTGTCATTTAATACTTGCCTATGTGTGTGTGTATGCACTATGCTATGCGTTGCTGAATTGATCCAGGTCTACCCAAGTAGAAATGTGATCCATGATCCTGAAGCCTCGCTAGTACCCATTAGACATTACATTGAAATTGCACATATGAAGGTCTGATAGCAGTACTGTGACTGTGATGCATTTTGGTAACCAGATAGAGCTGTGGGTGTTTAATGAAAGAACCATGAGTGCCACTCTATGACATTTGGTGGGGGGAAAGAGGGAAGAGTTGTCTCATTTCTCTTCTAACTACTTAAAAAATTTTGTTTTTGCAAAATTTTGGAGTTACCGTAGAAATCATAGAATTTTAGAGCTGGAAGTGACCTTAAAAGATCACCTAGTCAAAGCCTTTCATTTTACAGATAAGAAAAATAAAATCTAAATAGAGTGATTTTGCTTCAGGCCATCCAACTAGTCAGTGACAGAACAAGGACTAAGACTTGTTCTTCTTGACTCTCAAGACAGTGCTTTGCAATCAACATTTCCTTTGATTACTATGCTTTGACCCAAATTGTTGAAGGATCATTTTTTAAATGTTTAAGATAAATCATAATCCCTGAGAAGATCATAGATCATTTTACTACCATTAAAAAGGATTGTCTAAAGAGAAAACTGCCTGGGTTTTCTCTCCAGTCTTAATTGCTATAGATGCACACAAAGTTTCATAAATACAATCAATGCAGTAATTGTATAACTTGAACTCTGTAGATGATTGTTGACTGTTTTTGGCAAGTCACATCTCCACATTTCCTGACAAGTGGGGTTTTTTTGTTTATTTTTCACTTCCATGAATTAATTTGCATTAACAGAGCTGCCTTGATAGCCGTTGGGATTTACGCTCCCAATCTATAAAAGAGATATGGCATATGCTTCTACATAAAATCATGTTAGTGTACCTCCATTCTGTTCATGAGGGACCACTTCTGGCCAATTCAGTTGCATGTATTTTATACACTCTAACTTCCTACAGATCTTCTCAAATGAAGAGCTGGGTTTGATATTTTATCTGTTAACATAAAATTAAAATTAGTAAAATAAAAATAAATTTTAGAATGATGATCATTTATATGGAGTGAGTTTAAAGAAATAGAATATTGCATTTCCAGGTTTCATTTTTTTCTAACAGAGCTTGATATTTAGATTAGCCAATGTAAGTAAAACCACTCGAGTTCCTATGGCTCATCATTTTTTTTCTTATTAGAATGAGAGAAGGAAAATATTGAACCCCTAAAAGTGACAAATGTTATTAGTTTCCTTAGCAACTGGCAAAGGCAGTTTCTCTTTCTCTTGATTCATTTAATTTTTTTGAGCTTTCATTATAATTTTCCATTCATGCATATAGTTTATGTGCTGATGTTAATTGAAGAGGTGCTGAGTTCCGCTTTCTTAACTTTTCTGTGTCCTGTAACAGGAGCAGGCTTCCTGGGTGTGCCAGTGTGATGACAACATGGTTCAGAGACTAGAAACAGACTTCAAGATGACTCTTCAGCAGCAGAGCACCTTGGAGCAGTGGGCTGCCTGGCTTGATAACGTCATGATGCAAGCGCTAAAACCCTATGAAGGGAGGCCCAGTTTTCCTAAAGCTGCACGGCAATTTCTGCTAAAATGGTCTTTCTACAGGTATCATCTTAAATTCTTTTAAATGCCATGTCCTCATATTAGTATTGCCTGTAAAATGTTTTTACATTTAACTTTGGAAATTCATGCCATCGAACAGAAAGGGATGGGGAAGGAGAAGAATATTTGTGTAGTTAGTGTCAGAGGTCCAGGGTTTGGAATCGCAGCTCTCCTACTTTACTTGTGTGATTAAGGACACGGGCCTCAGTTTTCCCATGTAGAAAATGAGGGACTCAAACTGGACAATGTCTACAGGGTCCTTGAAACTCTAAATGTTGTGATCCTTAAGGATACTAGATCTTTAGTTTGGGAGGTTGTTGTTGTTGAGTGAGTCATTTTAGTCTGGTACACTTCCTGACCCCATCTGGTGTTTTCTTGGCAAAGATACTGGGGTTGTTTGCCATTTCTTTCTCCAGCTGATTTTGCAGATGAAGAAACTCAGGCAAACGGGTTAAGTGACTTGCTTAGGGTCACGCAACTAGTAAGTTTCTAAGGCCAGATTTGAACTCAGGAAAATGAGTCCTCCTGACTCCAGGCCCAGCACTCTATCCATTGTGCCACCTAGCTGCCCACACTCAGGAAGTTAACCCAAAGGCAGCCAGGTCATGGGGTTGCATGAAATCTGCTAGTGGAAATATTTTTCCTGTAGAAAAACGCATCTTTCTCAAGACCCTTTTTTTAATTTAAGCAAATAAGTAGATGAGATAGCTTTTCTAACACTTGAAGAGTACTCCTTTCCAAATATGAATTGCCAAGACTCAGCTAGTCAGCAAAATGCAACAGTTCTTACCAGCCACATGATGGTTAGAGTTTTTCTTAAACCATTAGCACACAAAATTGCTTTTGCTGTTTAGTTCAATTGTTAAATTGTTCTACTGGACAGTTAATTGTACTGTGGAATCATTTCAAAATTAGAGTAATTTAGCCTTAAATTTAAATTGGCATAGGAGAATGCCAAAACAAAAAAGGATGTGTGATACCTTGATGCGGTATTATCACCACAACTATTAGTTTCAGAGCCCCTATTGTTTGTATATTGGTGGGAATTATCAAATGTATAAAAGGCAGTGGGGAGTGATGTATAGGTACTCTTTGTGTGTGTGTGTGTGTGTGCGTGTGTGTGTGTATACAGTTTCTTAAAGCTTATACCAGGGATTTCATCTTTATGGTTTTAACTTTTAAAGAAAGTTGATTTCAGTTGTAAGCTCCAAAAGGGCGGGTACGAAATCTTACATTATCTTTGTCTCACACTCAGCACCTAGCACAGAACTCTGCACCAATGTGTTGTTTAAGTGCTTAAGAAATATATTTTGAGTTGAATTGAATTGCTTTTTCAGTTGGTTGAGATGAGAAGCATAGCTTAACCTTAAATGTTTAGCTAAAGTAAAATTTATCTAACTATTCATGCAGTATTTTTCTACTGTCCATCAAACATCAGAGCTCTTTAATTTCAATAAAAGAAAGGCTTCTAGACTTTATCTCTAGTACATTAACCCTTGGAAATACTGTTCTACAGGACTGCACATGTATAACCTATATCAAGTTGCTTGTTGTCTTGGGGAGCGGGGAGGGAAGAGAGGGCGAGATAAAAATTTGGAGTTCAAAATCTTATTTTAAAAATGAACGTTGAAAGCTAAAAAGAAAAGAAAATCCTGTTAGGCTGAATTTTATTGGTTCATGTGCTGTTTTAGTGTCCACTCCTTTTATCCACACAGATTGGGAAAAACCTTCTCAAGTTTTCTCTCTGACTTTGGTCCTCATTAGGTCTTAGCAAATCTATGACAGATCTGGTTTAATTACTGAAAAGTTCATTGGCAACAAATATGTGTTTGCCTATATATATATATATATATATATATATTATATATATATATATATATATATATATATATATATATATATATATATATATATATATATATGAAACTTATGAGAGTGGCGTCTTTGAGGCTATATGATAGTAATTGTATTTTCTATATAATTTTACAATTTGGGTAGTGTCTCTCTTATGTGCAAATCTCAGGTATTCCCCTATTTCTTTGGAGCTAAATATTTGCTTCTTCCACCTGCCTATTTCCCTAGAAAACTGCATATATAGGAAATGCTCTTCATGGGTAATTGATGAAATAGAATCATACTAATTTTTCATCTTCAGAAACCTATGAGGTTGAAGTCACATTAATCCTCTATATTAGAAAAAAAGTAAGGGGTTTTTTTCCCCTTCCTTCTGATTTCTTAGGTTGTTAACATCAGACCAGCTGTATTCTTTCTGGTTTTTTGTTTCTATATTTAGTTGGTATCTTTTAGTGACACCCCTGGAACCTTAGTCTCCACAGAGATCTATTGCAGGTATCTTAAAAGGAAAGAAAATTACTTACTTGTATTTCTTATTCTCTACAGATATAAGAACCCAATAGATCATCACTTGTCTGCCCTCTGTCCTCTCTGAGTTGGAGATAATTGGCTTGTTATTGTTAGATGCAATTATTGTTATTATTTTCATTTCAAAAAGACTTGAAGGCTTACAGTTATTGGCCATTGAAAAAAGAGATTCAGGCAGATGCATGCCTCCTGCTGGTGGACAGTGTCAATGGCTTAGAGCTTTTTGAATCAGACCTGTCTTTCTCTATAAGATAAGGACATCTATTGTGGTAATGAATTACATTCACAGATCATCAGAGAAGGAAAGCTGAATATGAGAAGTTTTCTCTAACATTGTGTGAAACTTCTATTGTAACTATCAAATACAGTGGTCCCCAGAATTCTAAAGCTAGAATGAGAGAACATCCCCAACATTTTTTTTGCATTGTCTTTTTATCCTTAATGTCTAGTATACATAAAGCATTAACTAATTAATTGGATAGGTTTGGAAGAGTCTTGCCCATAGTCACACAGCTAGTGAGTCAAGAAACCAGGATTTGGACCTAAATTTGGGGATTTTGCCACTACACCAGACTACCCCCTCAAATAACTGGCCATACCACTTGATTTCTCCTCCATGCCTGAATCTCTTCTATAACATACTTGTTAAATAGTTGTCCTGCCTTTGCTTGAAGGTTTCCAATATGGTGGAACCCATATTGGAGCCCATTCCACTTTTGTCTAGCTTTCTTTGTTAAGACAGAAATTTCCACATCAATTTTTTGCAGCTTTCACCTCTGCTCCTGGTTTTGCCCTCTGGTGCCAAATAGAGCAAGTCTAGTCACTTAAATACTTAATATTTAAAGCTCTCCTGTCCCCCAAAGTCAAAATCGTTGTTCCCTTTCCTTGGCATGAGTGAAACAGTATCTAGGCAGGTTCTCTGCCATGTGTTTCCTGGGCCATTTAGCCCCTGGTATAGGGCACTGTTCTCAGCAAAGACAAGCCAACAGTATATCCATCCAGATATTTCAAAAGCAGAGACCACATTTTGCCTTCACTTTGTATCTTCCTCAGCATTTAGCAGTACCAGAGCTCTGTACAAAGTAGACACTTAAGGCTTATTAAATTGAATTGCTTTGAACCTTTCTGATACCATGGCTTAGAAAGCAGCCAAGAAATTGTAAAGACCATGGCTTCCCCTCACCAGCACAACTTACCCTCTAAAAGCCATTATTATTTCTTTGAACTGAATACAAGCACTGAGGGGGACAAAGGTAACCTTTTCTTACCTCCATATGTGAGAAGGGTGTGGCTTTTGTCTGATGGTATTCAAAGAATGGAGCTAAGCCTGTCATATTCATTCATATGTACATTCCAATTTAGGTTGTTATGAGCAAAAAAAAAAAAGATAAATACATAAAGATATTTCTTATTCATTTTAAATAATTAACAATTACATTTCCCTTCTAAAAAGGAGCCAAGTACACAGTAACTTAGCAACATCAAAATGAATGGAATCAATATTGCAACATATCTTATATAAGACAAAAGCAGGCAATAGGTTTCCAATTAAACTGCTAATTGTGTCATTTAATACTTGACACTAAGGGCAGACACACACCGGGAAGAGAATAACATAATGCACAACACTAATAACACCTTGTGTCAGCTGATTTTCTTTTTGGACGTTTTCTCTAAATATTGAATAGTAATGCCACTGCAGGCTTGAGAATTATTTTAAAATAAAAACCTTGAGAGATGTTGTACTTGACAATCAGATCATTTCTTCATTTATCTGCAAAGTTCAGTACTTAGTTCTCCCTATTTATGCAAGTAATATTAATTCTTTTTGAAAATATTTTTAATTGACAAAGGACCTAATAAAGAGATTTTAGATTTCTGTAACAGCAGAAGAAAACTAATTGATAGCATCTGCAATTGTATTAAACAATTTTCTCTCGAGTTATTTACATGATTACAGTATTGTCAGCTATTAGAGGAGAAACAGACTATTCTGAAGTCTGGACTCAGTAATATGTACGTGAAAGAACTGATGCCGAAATATATTTGTGGTTTTTATTTTGTAGAAAGCTCTGTTAACAGTCAAATAACCTAGGGAATGTGTTTGATGTGGCTAAGGAACCACTAATGGCATCTTAATGAAGTCTGGCATTGAAATGCTGCATTACAGCATTAAACAACCGACTTTATAGTTTTCTTTGATGAGAACTTACTCAAAACACTTGGAACTTCCTAAGCTAGTCCCCTTGTCAGCTAGGCTCTTTCAGAAGCTACATACACTCAATCAGTTTGCATTTATTAAGCTCTTACTATGTACCAGGCAGTATGCTAAGGGCTGGACATAACAAAGAAATGCAAAAACATAGTCTTTGCCCTCAGGAAGCTCCCATAATAATGGGAAAAGCCACATGTAAATAAATAGCTATAGACAAGAGATTTATAAATAGAGAGAGACAGACAGAGTAAGATGGAAGATATTCTCAGAGGGAAGTCACTAGCAGCAATATAGGGTGGGGAGAGGGGGTGAGGGCAGAAAAAGCCTCTTGCAGAAAATGGGATTTGAGCTGAGTCTAGAGGAAACCAGAAAAGCCAGAAGGAAGAAGTGAGGAGAGAGAGCATTCTGGGAAAGAGGGACATCCAGTGAAAAGGCCTGGAGTCACTAGGTGGAGTGTTGCATTCAAGGAACATCAAGGAGACCAGTATAGCCAGACCATGGGGTTCTTGGAGGGGAAGTAAGTGCAAAAAGATTGGGAAGTTAAGAATGATCAAGATTGTGAAGGGTTATAAATGCCAAACAGAGGACTTTCTGTTTAATCTTGGAGGTAGTAGGGAGCCCTGGAATTCACTGAGAAGAGAAGAGATACAGTCAGACTTGTACTTTAAGAAAATAACCTTAGCGACTGAGTAAAGGATAGATTAGAATGGGGACAGACTTCAGACAGACCAGCAGGCTATTGCTATTGTCCAGGTGTGAAGTGATGAGGGCCTGCACCAGGGTGGTGGCTGTGTAAGTGTAGTGAAGGGGCTGTGAAGGTAGAAAGCAGAAGACTTGATGGCAGATGGCACATGGGAGAAATAATGGAGAGAGAGATAATGAGAAGTCAAGGTTGACAGAGAGGTTGTAAGCCTGGGTGACTGGGAGGAAGGTGGAGCTCTTGACTTGTAATAGGAAGGTTGGAAAGTGGGGAAGATTTGGGGGAAAAGATAATAAGTTTTATTTTGGAAACATTGAGTTTGAGATGCTTACAGAGTATCCAATTTAAGATGTCTAAAAGGCAGTTGGTGTGACAAAAGTTTAGGTCAGGATAAAGGTTAGAATCATCTGCATACATGTGATCATTGAACCCACGAAAGCTGATGATATCACTGAGATAGTACAGAAGGAAAAGAAAAGAAGACTCAGGGTAGAAACCACAATTAGTAAATGTGGTCTGGATGAAGCTCCAGCAAAAGAGACTGAGGAAGAGTCATTAGACAGGTAGGGGAACCAGGAGAGGGTAGTACCATGAAAACCTAAGGAAGAGTATTGTCAAGAGTATCAAAGTTTGCTGGCAGATCAGTGAGGATGAGGACTGAGAAAGTGCTATTAGATTTAGCAATGAAGATTGGTCAGTTGGTAACTTGAGAGAGGGAAGTTTTAGTTGAATGATATCAGAAGCCTAATTGCAGAGGGTTTACAAGAAAGTGAGAGGAGAAGCAGAGGCTTCTAGTGTAGATAGCTTTCTCAAAGAGTTTGGGCAAAAAGAGTAAGAAGCTACAGGACAATATCTGGTGAGGATGGTTGTTGGATCAAGTGAGGTTGTTTTTTGTTTTGTTCTGTTCTTTAGGATAAAAAGGGATACATGCATACAAAAGGAGTCAGTAAATAGGGAGAGATTGAAAGTTAGAGAGAAGATGGAAATAACATGAGGGGGGAGGGACTCTTCTGGAGCACACAATAAGGAGTAGGTTCACTTGTATGCATAGGAGGATTTACCTTGGCAAGAAGAGGAGCCACTTCTTTACATGCCTCAGGGATGGAGAGGAGCAGATAGCGAAGATACATGTCTGAATGATGTGAAATAAGGGAGGGGGCAAAACAGTTCTGTTTATTAGGCTGCTTTTAAGTAAATTAGTACTTCACAATATAGATTAGAATCCAAAAGAAATGGATTGGAGTCAGAAGTCCCCTTTTCAGAGCCCAGCCCTGCTGTTTAAAGGCTGTATGTCCTTGACAGATCACTTCCATATTCTGGACCTTTATTTTCTCATCTGTAGAATGAAAAACTTGAAGTAGATGATCCCAAAAGGCCTTTCCAGCTCTCAATTCTATGATCTTATGACCGCCAGCCCTTTCCTATAGCAAATAGGCCTGGCTCCTAATTTTTTTTTTTCCATCCAGAAAGATGCAAATTAGAGCAGATATAGTGTTTCTATGTTTCTTCATTTCCCAGAATAATTGACTCCAATTCTGGGAAGTTGTGATAATAATATACCATGTTACCTAGTTTGAGTAAAGTATCCTTGTAGATCATGGTTTTAATTATATGAATAGCTATGATCATAGGATTTAGAACAGGAAGGGCCTTGGAAGTTATCTGTTGCAACCTCCTCATATTACAGATGAAGAAACTGAGAATGATAAGTAATTTACCCAAGGTTGCACTGACAATAAGTAGCAGATCCGGAATTTAAACCCGTCTTGTGACTCCAAATCCAGTTTTCTGTCTCCACACTAGGGTGCCTCTCAAACTGTCATTGTTCACAGCATATTTAGAGTGACATGTGGAGCCATGACATTTCTTTTTCTCGGTGCAATATGGCCCGTGTAAGAATTGAGCCACTAACTAGTCACATTAGCACCCTAGTCAAACTATCTGAACCAACCATGCTTTTCAATAATAAAAGTCTTCCCTTGTCACCTGAAAAGCTAGTAAACGCAGAGTCTGCTTAAGTTTCTGCCATAAATGGGTCATACAAGTCAACTGCTACTTTGGCTCCCTATAATACTGATTGCCTGTGTTTCTTTTCTCTTGGAACAGTTCAATGGTCATTCGGGACCTCACCTTGCGCAGTGCTGCTAGCTTTGGCTCTTTCCACCTGATCCGTCTGCTCTATGATGAATATATGTTTTACTTAGTAGAACATCGTGTTGCTCAGGCAACAGGAGAGACACCTATAGCAGTCATGGGCGAGGTAAGAGCGACCAAAAGAGCTCTACCCTGTCGTACACTGGGGAGGCTCAATATCTACAACTATTTAATTAAAAATGTCTTGGGGGGGGAATGAAAGTAACAAAGGTGTATGATTTAGGAAATAAAATACTCATCCAAGGCTAAAGAGGTGAAACAAATAAATAAAATCTACCGTTTTTCAGTGCCAAAGAGCAAAAGGTATGTTCATCGTGATGCGAACAAAACAGAATAAAAAATTCCTTTCATCAAAATATCTGGATAACACTAAAAATGTCTCTTCTTCAACAAATTTCCAAGCAAAACTTGTTAGTTGATAAAAACATGGATCATTTAAGATAATCAAGAGGAGACATAAATAACCAAATGGTGACTGTTGTACTTTATTTGGGGAAAACTGTATAACTTTCGAGATAAACAATATTACAAACTACTTGAGTTCTGTTAAGCAAAGGATACATTTTTATGCTAACATGTTTGACTCATACCACTAAGTAGAAAAAGATGAGAAATAGAAATTAGTGATTTTCTCCTATTTTAATGACTGTTAAGATAACTATGTTTTGAAGTGCTCCTCTCAAAGATTGCTCCAAATATTATAGCTCACATAAAATAAAAATCACATTTATTTGGTGCACCAAGATACTGCCTTTATATTGCTTTTTTCTCTCCAAAATTATTTACTTTTGGACTTTTCTCCGAAGATAAATATACCCAAGGAGCAACAAATTTTCATGCGTGCAACTAGACAAGAAGCACTATAGTTGTTTACTTTTAGGGGTGATCCAACACCATCTTTGAAATTCTCTTAGTTTTTACCTTTCCCACCTGCCTCTGTTTTCAGTTGGTTTTTTTTTCAATTCCTGGTATCAAGTTGCTAGTAGTTATCTAAATACAAGGTAAGTACTTTGAAATTTCTGATGCCAGGCTTACTACACCCTCCAAGATTGGCATGCCCTTTAGTGTGCTTGACATATTGGCCAAACATGTCAGATCCTCATGGGATTCTTTAATAGAATCAACAGGATATAACAATAACAGGGGTTCTCATTGGTGCTGTGTGAATAAGCCTGATGAGAAATCCTTGCTTTCCCTTGTACCTCTAAGGGACATAGAGAATGGGCATGAGCAGCTTATGTAATATGAAGAGTTAGCAGCTTCTAAGGATGTTTGTGCAGACAGCATTAGGTAGTAAGAACCAAATGGGACTACAGTTTCAATATTGACTATACCATTGTCATATTTATGTGTGCCTATACAATTCGTGATGCAGTGGCAGATTGCTATAGGAGGCAGAGACATAAGCAAAACCCAGAACATGAGAAAATTCAGCATTAAATGCCTCTTGTGAGATCAAAACGCCTGTAAACTCCTCATGATTTTAAATTTCTTGCTATAGAATTGACCAGTGTGCAAGGAAGGCCCCATAGGCTATCCAGTCTCACCCATTATGGAGCCCAGGAGTCCAATTAAAGCTAATATGACACCCTCGGCCTCATCACAGAAAACTGATGCCTCACACTCCTATTTGGCTCCTGGTCACTTTTCTAGTTCTAAATTGGCCTTCTATTGGGGGTGGGGGTGGGGAAAGAAAATATGAGTAAGCCATTGCTTCCTGGTTTCCGCACACATTTCTACCAGGCTTCCTTGAAAACCAGATCAGAAAAAAATGGCTTTTGCACTCCCTTCGTTTGAATTTATAGGGTGCTATTAAAAGTATTGTAGCCACCCTAAAAGTATAATTCCAAGCAGTATACAGATGAACAGTTGGGCCTGTCTTAGGAACAAAAGCTCATTCAGGTCCCTCTAGTTCAGGTGACCATTATTGCCAGTGGTTGTAATTTATTTCCATATTCCTTATCTTATGTGTGTTTGTAGTATGTATGTCATGCCCCTTTTACTAGCATACGTCTTTTTCGTCACCATCTGCTCCACTTGTTTTAGGAATAGCTCTCAGCTCAGTCCTTGTTGCCGTTACTGTCTCCAGAGGATGGAGTTTCGTTAGAGATGAGTAGTGTTTTAAGGATTTTCTCTTGGGAAATTTGCCTCCGTGTATTCCAGCAGAATTTATATCTAGACCATGATTCCATTTTTGAATATTACCTCATTGGTGCTCTGATTCTGTTGGTGTTGGTACTTCTACTCAGTTCAGATCACAATCCAGTCATACTTCCACATTTTGTCCAATTTTTAAACTATGTCTTTTCATAAAATTTCCATAGAGAAGATCTACCATGCACTAGATTGTTTCCTTTCATTCATTTAATATCTTAAAGCTACCAGTGTAACACTAAGGCTCTCTAACTGTTGTCTATCCTTGTCCCTCAGTGGCTTTTGGATAATCTCTATTTATAAGTCATATGTTGCAGCCTACCTAGACTAATGATGCCTCTTTCCAAAATTAATTATAATTTGGAGTTATGTCTGATACAGACTTACCTTCCCATATTTACTTCATATTATTTCCCTTCACACCCTCTCTGTTCCAACCCAGCCCATCCCCCAGATATGACATTGCATTCTCTTTCTCTGTTTATTTGCCCAAGCTGTCCCTCATTCCTGGAATGTATTTCCTCCTCACCTCTACCTTTTAGAATGTTTGTTATCCTTCAACATTTCATACTCAAGACAACTTATCCATGGATCCTTCCCTGATTCCCCAATTAGATTAGTGTTTTCTCCCTTCTCATTTACTCTATATTATCTGTGTATTTGTTATATCTCCTCATTATAATGTAAGTTCCTTGAGGACAGGGATTATTTTGTTATTATCTTTGTACCCATCCTTCCCAGGCCTATCATAGTACCTTACACATTTTTATTGTTGTGGAATAAATCCATATTTTATGACGTCCACAGCTACTGTTGTTTTTATCTGAGTGGTTTCTGGTTCCTCATACATCTACTTTCATTTATCATACCTGGTTTTTTAAGTAAAGCTGCTACTTGGATATGTTGTGAAAACACTTTTTGTCATGGTTCATCCATTCATCTTCTGTAGTCAGCTTAGGAATCCATTCACTTCTGAGTGGCAGGCAGTCCAAGGTGTTAATTTTAATCTCTAAAGCTCTCTACTTTATTTGGTTATATCAATAACTTCTCTTGTCAGAATGAGTGCTCCTACTAAGACTAAGCTCTTCAGACATAGAAAGTCAGAATGTTTTCTGTGGAAGACTAGACTCTTTTCAATTCTTTTTGTCTGATTTCTCCAAACAATAGTTCCTAATTTTCATTAGATTGGTATTTTGCACGGAATTTTTTTGATAATACATTTTCTACTTTGATATTCCACCCTATGATATTTTTACTGTTTTATCACATGGAAAAATTTAAACAAGCATGAAAAGTCTGTTTGTATTATGATCTAAGTGGAAATATTTGCTCAACTGCCTAGCCAGTCTGCATTTTGACAGAGCTAATGTAGTTGTTCTAAAAAGGAGATGTAAAAAAAAATTAGCATTTTAAGACTGACTTTTTAAAAAAAAAGTTTTAAAATAATGAAGTTGATAAAAGTCATTTTTAAGTCTTGAGTAACATTTTTTAAACTCAAAAATAATTTTAATTAGCATTACTAATTTTAAACTCTAAATGTAGGTTTTTTTTCCCTATGTTTGAAATCATTCTATCTTCTCAATCATATCTGGGCTATCTATTGAGACATAACTTTACCAGGACAAATACACATACACACTCTGTGTGTTTCTTTTGTACAAAACAATTATATACATAAACATGCCTAATTTTACAATCTGATGATGCCTTTATTTTCAACAGTGGAAATGGAGACCTCTATATTGTGAGGCCCCTAAACTAGAAGTAGCTTTATAAGCCCAAGAAAAATAAAAATATTATTCTTGATGACTGTCTGCCAAATACACACACACACACACACACACACACACACACACGAGACTTATTAAAGTATCTGAGAATCTAAAATTCTGGGGGATTTTTTAATCATAAGAAGGGAAGTAGATGAATTAAAATCTGTTTAATGCTGGATTTTATTCCATTTTTTATTTTGATTTAAATTTTGTACAGGTGTCTAGTGGCCTTCCGGCAATGGTGAAATTTTTAAGAGCTGGGATAAAATATAATAAACAGGTCGCATCTGTCTGCACACCTGTTAAGTCATGAGACATGCTGTTTAACTGCGTGATGACATATATACCAGCCATTCACCATCCTTTCAAAATTGAAACAAAAGACAGTTTATTTTGAGTGATGCATAGATTTCATGTTTCTCTTGAAGTGAGCTTGAATACTTTCAAACAAAGCAATCTTTTGCAGAATGCAAAGCGTAATGATTTTTGCATATAAAGATGCAGAAAACTCACCTTTAAACATGATGTTGAAAACTCTGGGGAAACAATGATAAAAACTAATTCATATTTCAGTCATTAAAAATAGATGAAAACTTCCATTTTTCTGGAATTATGGTGTTCTGTATAATTGAGTGTTATAGGCAAATTGCCATGTATGTATAACACATATACATTACCAATTTTTTAAAATAGCTCTTGTGAACTCTCCTTAATACAAAACTATACTAAACACAATCTAATCTTTTTTTAATGATTCAGAAGTCACTTCTTGGTTTTGCAGGGCCTCAGGGTCATAATTATGAACATCAGCTATTATTATATAGTACTAATCACATAGGAGGGTGAACGACTGGGTTGAATCTATACTGACTCTATAATATGCCCTGGAAATTGTTTTTTGAAAAATAAATTCCTGGTAGCTGCTTGTTTAGCTGCCAATTCTCTCTTGTTTAAGAAGAGGAGAAAAATTATCATTATTTGCACTTTTGCTTGTTTAGAAACTCCATATAAATGTTTATTGTTGTATTAAAAAATTGATTCTAATTACATATACACAACCCAGAAAAGTATACCTGAAAAATCACAAAGGTATTTAAAAATACTACTTTCAAAGTCATGGTTACCTTCAGAAAATATGCCATGGAAGCCAATTATATTTGTGCCTACTAATCTAAGTTTT